GTGGGCCTTGGGCCGCCAGCATCTGAGAGAACCCTCGGACGCTTCAGAACAGGGCCCTGCCTTCCACACGCCTATAGGACTTCCCGCAGCCGTGACCCGGGGAGACAGACACCTCTCCTCCTCAGACCCCACGCCACCCACACCCACTGGGCGCTCTCACACGCTGGCCTGCTTGGGAAGTGCCCTGGTGCACGGCCTCTCGCTCCCCAGGCCTCAGGAAGGCTGGCACGTCGTGTCTCCAGGGGCACAGGTGACGGACCCTTTCCTTGGGTTTCTCTTTCAGAAGTCACGACCAGCCATTAAAGTGCTGTTCCTGTCTTCTAAAGCCCACGTAAGTCTTATCGCCTCAGCAGCCCGGCACGTGCCCCACTGCACCCGCAGCCTCCCGGCTGGCGGCTCCACCAAGGCGCTCTCGGGCGGACTGTGCGGCCCCCAGCCTGCTCCCCGGGCCGGTCTGCCCTGGGCCGTCCTCCCTCACTCCCAGGACAGGGCTGCTGCTGCCAGTCAGCCTGGAGCGAGGCCCTTTCCGCACACACCCTCAGCGGCCACAAAGCCAGCGCCCCGGGCCACTCACAGCAGGACGTGTGCCCCAGGGCAGGCGTGGTCCTGCAGGCTGTCCACCTCCCCGCATTGCAGGACTCCCAACGGTCAGGGCTGTCCCTGCAGACAGCTGGCACACGTCTGAGAAGTTCACGAGCTGACCACGTGCTCTGCTGACTGCCACGGGAAGGACCCTGCCCTTGGCGGAAAAGCCACCACTGTTCTCAGCCCCGGCAGCATCCACCCTGGAACGCTGGTCCTTAGGAGAGTGACAGGCTCTCCTTAGGGAAGAACTTCCCAGATCCGTCGACAGGTAAATCAACAGCCTGTCACTCCTGCTGGTGACACATAAGTGCCCTCCTCAGTGTCAGATGCAGTACCCAGTGATTTAAAATACACTGCGTGCTACCTTAGAACGTTTGGTGATCAAGTTCACCGCTGCACAGGAAACCTCCTGCAAAAGCGTTGGTGTCAGTCTCCCTCCCAAACCCGCTCCGTTCCGGTTCCTTCCACCCCCTACAAAGCCCATCCCCAATCACTGACCTCGGATCCCACCAGTCGGAACAGCTCTATGTGCCCGCCAGCATCCACCACACCCAAGAGGGCCTGGCCAGCCACCGGAACGTGGCACCTGAGGAGAGAATCCACAGGCCACTCAGAACAGGGGGCGTGCCCAGGGCACAGGAACTTACCACTTAAACTTCAGCCCCTACACTGTTTTGGAGCCTGCGGTTCTGTTCCAACAAGATCCCTCAGCATATGAATCAAAACACTGGCATTACTCCTCAGAATATTAACTGTGAGGCTTGGAAACTGACAAAGGAAATGAACCCCAAATCTGCTTCATCCTGCAGCTGCCCATGGGGGCGGGATGGAGAAGGAGTGAACCCACAGCTCAGACGTTGCCCCATCTTGCCGAATGCTGCCAGACGTCAGGCGCCCTGACCACGAGACAGACCCCAGACAGGCGGGGTGGTTACGGAGTCCGTACCATTTCATGTCCAGGATGGCAGAAGAGTCTCTCCTCTGGATCTCGGCCAGGGAGCACGCAGAGAGGTTTTCATCGCAACTGTACAGGTACAGACGGCCGAGACGGGTCTGCGGCACAGTGGCGTCCTGCTCGCCCTGCGAAAGACGCAGCCGTGTCCCAAACACCCTACCAGACGCTGATGCCGGGACAGGAAGCGAGGGAAGGTCTGCAGAGACTGAGTCCTGCCCGGGTGCAACCCCGACTTTCCCAGCTGGACACATGTCTCCTCTCCCGCAGGGCATCGGTGAGCGTGGGATGTGCGGGCCCAGCACATCCTTCCGAACCGGTGCCCGGGCCAGCTGTGCTCAGGGCCCCACAGAGACAGTGCTGGCTGCGCCCTGGGCCCCAGGGCCCGTTCTCACTGTCAAGGGTCCTGGTTTGGACCCCTCTTTAGTTGAGATTTTGCATGTAAGTTGGAGCTACAGTGCACGCATCCAACCTACATCCTGGCCACAAGGCCAAGGCCGCATCTCCACCCCATGACTCCCTCTAGACTTTCCTTCCAGCTCCCTAGCCAGAGAGATCTCCACTCCACATCGGGTAGGCTCTGCCTCTTCTGAGCTGTAACCTGCCTCTCCAGGAGCTCTCCCAGCCTCGGCCCCTCCCCTGGGGGCCGCCCCCGGGCACGTGCGCGGACACGCACGACCAGACTGCCAGGCCAGGGCCAGTGCGCACCTCGCCCTCCGGCGCCCGCAGCTGGTAGGTGCCGCAGGCCAGCACGCGCCGGCAGCCCTCCAGCGGGCACCACTCCACCGAGTCCGCGGTGTACTCCGTGTCCACTGCCTGCAGCAGCTGCAGGGGACGGCCCGTCCCACAGCAGCCGGAGGACGCCGGGCTGCAGGCCGAGCTGAGGGGGACGGGGGACGAAGCCAGCGTGCAAGCCTGGGTTGCGGCCAAGGCCAGGTGAGAGTGGGGTCCGGGTCAGAGCCGGGCACCAGAGCGCCAGGAGCACACCAGAGCGCCAGGAGCACACCAGAGCGCCAGGAGCACACCAGAGCTGCAGCCAGTATTTGCTGTCCTTCAGTGGTTGCTCCCTCCCGACTCTTTCCGGGTATCGGGGCGGGACTTCCGGCCGCCGTTGCCCCCACGCGGAAGACCGGGCTCCTGCGCCCCCTACCGGTCGGCAGACCTCGACGGGCCCCCACGGGCCAGCAGGGTGCGCTCCGGGCCCCGCGGCGAGACGGTGGACAGGACCTCGGGCAGGACAGCTGGGCCCAGAACGGGGAAAGAAGCACACATGGAAGTGGAGGCGTGCACAGGGCCTGGACATCCACGGAGCAGAGTCCGAAGTCAAAGGGGCTGGACCTCGACTGCTCCTCCTTCCCTGTTGCTCCCCTCTCCCCGCCCCCGCCCCCCACAGCGCTGCCGGCCGGCACAGCAGAGTGCGTGCAGGAGGACCAGCTGGAGGACCCCACGTGAGTGGCAGCGCCCTGGGCAGGCGATGCACGAGCGCAGGGGGAAACGCCAGCATTCTTGGAGGGCAGGGGTCTCCTGGCCAGTTCGGTTTAGGCCACATGTGCAAACTCAAAACCTGTCGGCCGAGTCCGGTGGGCACCTCTTTCTACCTGGTGGCAGCGCCGAGCTCTCACCTGTTACGGAGCAGTTACGTCTACAGAGTCCTAAAATTACATCCGGCCCTTTGAAGGCAACCTCGAGGTTGATGTGGCCCCCTGCAGAATTGAGTTTGACATGCCTGGTAGGCTGTACTGGCCATCCAGGCACAGCCACGAGCTGATGTGGGGGAAGGCGATGGTACTATTGAAGAAAATTGGTGTTCTACCCAGCAGGCTTAGCGACCGCAGGCTTAGTGGTGGGCTGTACCGTCCTCAAAACGAGGTTGTAGTTGGACAGCACCGCAGAACGTGACCTTCGGAGGCAGTGAGGATGGCCACTAGGGTGCGCCCTAACCCAGGGACTGCTGTGTTGGTGTCGGGGAGTTCCGTCTGTCAGGGGCACCACCCACCCAGGGAAGAAAGACCTCGTGAAGACCCACACTAAGAATCGACAAGCCCCTGCCAGAGGTTGGAGGGACCTGCACACACCTTTCCTTAGGGCCGCTAGAGGGAGCACGGCGCTGCCCCACACTTGGGTCTGAGCCCTCGCCTTCGACCCAATGCGTTGTTTTAAGCCACCCTTCCTAGGATACTAGTTACAGCAGCTAGACGTTGGGAACCTGGAAGGCTGAAACCCACATGGAGTCCTGGGGATCCAGCCTGCAGCTCAGAGGCAAGGCTAGGCTGCAAATGCAGACATGAGTCAGCAGCTACAGCAGCAGCTGAAGCAGAAAGGGCAGGTCACTCCAAAACAGCCAAACCACATAATCTCTCTGTGGCACAAGAGGGTCAAGTCAGCAGCCCCACATGCTGCGCTCTGACCCGCTGGAAACAAGCCCCACGTGTAATCTTTTCTGAATGCCAAACTCAGCAGTGCTCTCAGTGTGTGGATATGGAGGACGAGAGGTTGGAACCACCAGACGAGGAACCAGGTGCTGGGCACCGGTTGTCTGTAGGGAAGACCTCCTCTAGGGACCACACACACGCCCCCACCCCCAGCTCTGCACCCATTGCAGCTCAGTGTAGGAGCTGGAGGGACTTGGAACAAAACCTCCACCCCCCTACCATCCCCCACCCCATGTAGCCCTTGTCTTTGACCTAGAAAAATGTGCCGCACCTGGGAAGGAAACGCACCCACCTGCGCGACAGCGTCTGCTCCAGAGGCCGTGGTGTTGACTGGGCGCAGGGAAGGCACTGCCACTGGGGCCCACTCTAACCCGGGGCCACGCCCCCAGCTCCAGCCCAGGGCCCTTCGCCAGCAGACTGGGTATGTGGGCACGGCAGTCAGATATGGGACAGCCACCTACTGAGGCTCCAGCTCCCAGTGGCCACAGTAGACAGTGACCCCAGGTCACGGCCATGCCAGGAGAGCCATGAGCCACCATAGAAAGCAACCAAGTGTCAGACCCAGAGTGGTGTTCTGTGGTCAGCCGAGACCCTGGGCACTTCCCCTTCCATCTGACTTCCTGGTGAGGAGCTGACTGCAGAACTTGTGCTGGTCGAGGGGTGCGCACAGGCTGGAGCACCCACCTGGCCGCTGCCCAAAGGGCAGACTAAACCCACAACCTGCAGTCTGGTGCCTCCTTGTCTCAGGAGCCTTTGGAAGCAGGTTGAGCACCTGGGGTCCATGCCTGGAAAGACCACCCAAACCCCAACATGCCCACCTGCTCCTGGCCAGAGACGGAGCCAGCAGTCCGGAGGGAAGACCCTCTCTCAGGATCACATAGCCCCCTGCCCCCACCTGCTCTGCACCCACGCTGCTCAGTGCAGGGTCTGGAGGGACTTGGAACAACTCCCCTGCAGGCAGCACATGTCTCTGGCCTGGAAAATGCACCACACCTGGCCTGCAGTAGCGGAGGGGGGGCTTCTCAGTCAAGTGGGTGGGGAGCACATGAAGCCCTCACCCCTTCAGAAAGCCCCTCCTCCTCTGGGGTTAGGACTGAGCCCCCTGCCTGTTGCCATCACCCAGGACTGCACCGCCCAGGACACCAGGCATGCAGAAGCAGCCACTGGAAGCTCCGCTCACAGGGCAGAGGCTGCCACAGGGCGGTCCCAGCAGGAAGGCAGTGAACACGCACGGGCATTGTGGAGGGGGGGCAGAGGAGCTGCACCAGGGGAAGGACAGAAGTGCCTACAGGGCCAGGGACAGCCGGGTCCGTCCGAGCAGAGATGGCCAAGAAGCAAGGCCCCCAGTGAACTGGCCGGACCTGGAGACTGACCAGATGCCAGCCCAGAGGCTGCCCCGCACTTGGACATCTGGCTCCAGGAAGGGAGAGGAAGACCCAGCCCCGTGGGGGTTGGGAGGGGGCAGAGCTCAGGCACCCTGGCCTCTTCAGTGCACAGGCAGGGCCTCAGGCCCCCACAGAGCTCCCAGCCACTGAATGGAGTGCAGGCAACGACCTTCCAGAACCAGGCTGCGGTCACCCCATGCTGCTCCGGAGGGGCTGGCCTGCTCGGCCACAGGACAAGAATGGGCCTGGCCTCCCTCCTGCTGCCAGCCATTCCCTGGAGGAGTCCAGGAGCAGGGCAGGCCCCACCCCCACCACCCCCAGGACCCACGGGAGAGGTGCTCAGCGGGAAGGAAGAGCACAGAGCCGGGGACGCCGGGTGCCCGCCTGGACTGCCCCTGGATGCCAGGCCCCAGCGGCACGCCCGCGGGGAGCGGCGCCTGCTCCCCGACAGTGAGACACGCGGCAGACCGCCTGCCGTCTGAAGTTTACAACAAACGGTTCTATTCGTACTCTCTAACCCTCCAGTCCCTCCCCCCAAAAAACTGTACATGAGTTTACAAACATATTAACATATAAATAATGAGAAGCATCCTGGCGGGAGCCCCCCCGGCTCGTCCGTCTCTACCCCGGAGAACGCCCCCAGGGCCGCGCTGTGCCACAGCACGAGGCGCCGGCGCCGCGACGAGGGGCCTCCGCCGCGCCGCAGTGGGCGCAGCGCCGGCTTCTTCAGCACCGCCAGGCTCAGCCACCACCATGTCCGAGGTGCCCGCGGAAGGCCGACGCCTCGCAGGGCTGTGCGGCCGCCCACACCCAGTCATCGCTCCGGCTCGAGCTCCTGCTGGAAGGGGCGCCTCTTCTCCCGACAGTGCTTCTTGTGGGCCGGCCAGTCCTTCTGCTGGCACTGGGAGCCGCAGTACCGGGCCACCTGGCATCGCCCGCAGATGTTGAACTCCCGGAGCTGCGAGCACACGGAGCAGGGGCTTCAGTCACACAGAGGCTCCGGATGGGGGGCGGAGGTGCCACCGCTCCGGATGGGGAGGGGCCCGCCGCCCGCCCCCGGCCGGCCACAGAGGCTCCCAGGGGCCCGAGGGGACGCAGGCAGGGGAGCGCCCGGGGGTGCTCGCCGCAGCCCTACCTGCTTCTCGATCATCGTGCAGGGCGGGTAGTGGCACTCGTAGTAGGTGCAGGAGCTCTCCTCCTCCTCCACCACGTCCCCGTTCGCGTTGTAGAACCGCGTCACGTTCAGGACTGGGAACTGCTCCTCGATGGGGTCGGTGGGCAGCTGCTGGATCGCAAGCCAGTACAGGCTCTGCTCCCTGCGGGGGGAAGGGGACCGGCTGCAGGCACAGGCGACCGTGGCAGAGCGGACAGGCCGCTTTCTCCCGCTCAGCAGGCCCCGCCCTGATGGTTGCTGAGGCCACCGGCCACCACACTGCGAGTCTCTTCTCCAGGCGGCACCAGGTGCTCAGCACACTCGGTCTTCCCCACAAGGGGTGCAGAGCGGGGCCGTGCCTCCCACACCTGGGACTGACGGGCACATAGCGGGCCTGGCGACCGTGCGGTCTCGGTCCCAACACCCAGCCCACCTGGGCAAGGCCAGGCAGCCCCTCTCCCTGCTTCGGCCCCCGGTCAGCCCTTCTCCCCATTCATTGCTGTGAAAGGTACCACATCCTCCTAAACACCTGTCCCGTGAGAGTGGACAGCAAGGTGGCAACTGAGGAGCTCCACCTGTCACCAGAGCTGAGTGAGGCCTCTAGCAGGTGGCCCCTCACGCTGGAGCGGCCGGGTGTGGGGGGACAGGGAGTGGCCCCCCAGGAGCTGGGCTTCAAGGGAGGCACCACCTGCGCTCTGAGCGGAGATGGCAGGGAAACCACGCCCGGGGGCCAGGCCAGCAGGGACTCGGGCAGAAGAGGGAAGGGTCACCCTCACACACACCGTGCACAAAAATGAACTCAGAATGCAACAAGGACCTGAACGCAGGACCTCAAACAGCCCTGGCTGGGTAGGTCAGCAGGCTGGAGCATCACCCTGATACTCCAAGGTTACAGGTTCAATCTCCAGTCAGGGAACATACAAGAGTCAACCAATGATGCATTATTAAGCGAAACTACAAATCGATGTTTTTCTCTAAAACAATGAAAAAAAAACCCCCCAAAAAACCCTCAAACAGAAGATCTAGAAGAAAACACAGAACCAAAGCCGCACCGAATGGGCCTGGCCATGACCTCTCCGACGCGACACCCAAGGCCCGGGAGACGAGAGACAACACAGACACGTCAGACCGCACAGTCTCGGAGCCGCTGTGCACGAAGGAGCCATCCCCCGAGTGAAAAGGCAGCGCACGGAACACGGGGAAACGTGTGCAAACCACACACCTGACGACGGACTCGTGTCCGGAAGACACAAGGAACTGCTACAAGTCCACGTGAAACGCACACAGTCTAAAAACACACACGAAGGGTTTCCAGTCAAGAGGGCGGCATGGGCAGACGTGGCCTGCCCCTTCCCACGGCCACGTCAGAATCACACCTGAAACACGGAACCACCATCACTCAGAACCGTCAGAGGTCGAGCTGAATGGAGTCTGACAGCCACGGAGTTAGAGAAACCACGTCCACCCAGACGGGTGGGAGGGGCGCAGACGTGGAACGGGCTGGTCCCTCACCCACGTGTGGTGGATAAACATTCGGGACGGATATCTCGGCTGCGAGGAGTCCCAGCCCCACACCAGGCCCCCAGCCCTGGGTTCCAGGGCCAGGGAGGTAAGTCCCCACAACTTCTGGCTGCAAAAACCTGCAGAGATTGAGTCGGTGGAAGAAACTTCTGGAGCCCCGAACAGTTCCTCTTCAAGAACCCACACATGGACTCACCTACTCAGACGCACTCCCTCTGAGCTCCAGCACCAGGGCGGCAGTTTGAGGGGCACCAGTGGCCTGGGGGGGCGGGGCTGAGGTGCCTGGCATCAAGGCAGGAGCTGCAGGACAGCTTTCTCCCAGGCAGAAAGGTGAACAGAGCCACAGAACGGGCGGGCACCGTATCTGAGACTCCATCAACCTGGCTAACGCTGTCTGCCCAGCTCGGGAGATCCCCTGAGGCTCCGTTCCCACCCAACTTAGAGCTGTGAAGGGCAGCTTCTCCCTGTGAACACCTGGTCCTGTCTCAAGCTTCCCAAATTCCTAAATCCTCTCAAACAAGCACCACTGCCCTCACTGAGCCCCAGGCCAGCACTACCAACAAGCAGCCTAGATTCACAGCTTCGCTTCGCCTGGGAATCTCCAAGCCCAGCACAAGGAGCAGCCATCTCAGATTGCTGCCTTGGGCAGAACACAGGTGGGGGCTGACCTTGGCCTGTGCCCCCCGGGAAACCCCAGGGCCAGCGCACCCAGTGGACAGCTACAGACCACATCAGAGCACCACCACCCTAACCCTGCACAGCTGATCCTCCCCGGAGGGCAGAGGTTGTGGTCAGTGGTCATAGCCAGTCCTTGCAGCTGACTGGCCTGGGTCAATCCCTCCCACGGACCTGCCAACAGCAACCAAGGCTCCACTGCAAGTAGAGGGTGTGCTTAGGCCACATGAAGGGTGCACCTTGAGGACCCAGCTTGGGTGACAGGGAGGCTGTGCCACTGGACCCCACAGGACACCTACTGCATCAGAGCACTCTACCAAGATGGAGTCACAGCAGCTCTACCTAATACACAGAAACAAACACAGGGAGGCTGCCAAAACATGGAGACAAAGAAACATGGCCCAGATGAAAGAACAGATCAAAGCTCCAGAAAAAGAACTTAACAAATTGGAGATAAGCAACCTATCCGATGCAGAGTTCAAAACACTGGTGATCAGGATGCTCCAGGAGCTCAGTGAGGACCTCAGCAGCATAAAAAAGACCCGATCAGAAATGAAAGGTATGCTAACTGAAATAAAGAACAATTTACAGGGAAACATCAGTAGATGGTGAAGCCAAGAATCAAATCAATGATTTGGAACAAAAGGAACAAAAAACAACCCATCGGAACAAGAAGAAGAAAAAAGAATCCAAAAAAAAAAAAAAATGAGGACAGTAGTATAAGCAGTCTGTGGGACAACTTTAAGTGTTCCAAAACTCGCTACATAGGGTGCCAGAAGGAGAAGAGAAAGAGCAAGAAATTGGAAATCTAGCTGAAAAAATAATGAAAGAAAATCCCCCTCATTCGGTGAAGGAAACAGACATGCAAGCCCAGGAAGCACAGAGAGTCCCAAACAAGGTGGATGCAAAGAGGCCCCTCCATGACACACCACAGTTAAAGTGCCAGAGGGTAAAGACAAAGAGAGAACCCTAAGAGCAGCAAGAGAAAAGCAGTTAGTTACCTACTAACTGCAAAAGAAAAGCAGTTAGAATTCCAATAAGACTGTCAGCTGATTTCTCAAAAGAAACTTGCAGGCTGGAAGGGACTGGTAACAAGTGTTCAAAGGCATGAAAAGGAGGGACCTACAGCCGAGATTACTCTCCCTGGCACAGCTGTCATTTAGCATCAAAGGGCAGATAAAGAGCTTCCCAGACAAGAAAAATCTAAAGGAATTCATCATCACCAAATCATTATTACATGAAATGTTAGAGGAACTTATTTCATAAAAAGGTCAAAACTATGAACAAAAATGGCAAAAATACATATCTATTAACAATTGAATCTAAAACCAAACTGAGCAAACAAGAAGAACAGAGGCAGAATCGTGGCCGCGGAGAGCGTTTAGAGGGATGCCAGATGGGAGGGGCTGGGGGTGGGGAGAGAAGTGAGGGGACCGAGAAGCACGAGTAGGTGTCACAGAACAGCCCTGGGGACACAGACGAGGGCGGGGCGATGGCCTGAGGGAGTGGGGCTGCTGGGTGGAGGGGGGAAAGGAGGAAAATCAGTACAACTGTAATACCATAGTCAATAAAACATAATAAGTAAATAAATAAAAGTAGCCCTGGCTGATGTAGCTCAATGGATTGAGTGCCAGCCTGCAAACCAAAGGGTCACTGGTTCGATTCCTAGTGGAGGTACAGGCCTGGGTTGCAGACCAGGTCCCCAGTAGGAGGCATGTGAAAGGCAACCACACATGGATGTTTCTTTGTCCCTCCCTTCCCCTCTCTAAAAGTGAATATATAAAACCTTTAAAAAACTATTCAAAAATGAGTAAATGAATAAAATCTTTAAAAGAAAAAAATGGGCCCTGGCTGGTGTGGCTCAGTGGTTTGAACTCCAGCCTGGGAACCAAAGGGTCCCCAGTTTGATTCCCAGTCAGGGCACATGCTTGGGTTGTAGGCCGGGTCCCCAGTAGGGGGTGTGTGAGAGACAACCACCCATTGCTATTTCTCTCCCTCTCTCCTTCCCCCTCTCTCTGAAAATAAATAAAATCTTAAAGGAAAAAAAGACAAAGGGAGGGGTGGGTAAAGGTGGAAGAGGCTATTGGGGTATAAACGGTAATGGAAACAAACACACAAAAAATGAACTATTTGCCCTGGGTGGTGCGGCTCAGTGTGCTCAGCACTGGCCTGCATACTGAAGGGCTGCTGGTTATATTCCCAGTCAGGGCACATGCCTGGGTTGCAGGCCAGGTCCCCGGCTGGGGGGAAGGGGCAGGGTCGAGGCGCACACCCCAACCACTTGGGGCTATGGACACGGGCCCGCCAGCTGAGCCACCCTCCTCTTCTGCTACCACCAGTCTTTGTGTTGTTTGTGGAGCAGCCTTCCCTCCCCAGCGAGCGGGCAGTAGAGTGAGTGAATGTGAGCCAACTGGTGACCCCAGATGTCCTCGCTGCCTTGGGGACATGCCCCCGTGGAAAGCAAGCCTGCAGCTCGGGTGGCCGTGCCAGAGGAAGAACTGGAGTCCCAGAACCCCGAGACTGTCCACACCTCAGCTTGGGGAGCCAATGAGCACCTTATCTCTGCTTCAATCTGGGGCCAGTTCCTGTCACTTCCAACCTAAACCCAACAAGGTGACTGTTGTAAAAGGGTCGTTTCCTCCCAAGGACAGGGAACGTTAGGGCCACACGCTGACATCAGAGGAGAGAACCCAGGGGCCATGGGCCCCGGCCCTGCCCCACTCGCCCGAGAAGCCTGGCAGGAAGTGAGAGTGTGCAGGGCCCTGCAGAGTCAGGCGGCACTGGCTGGGTGTGGCCTCCACAGAACCTGGGGACAGCCCCTTCCCACCAGGACCCGGGCCTGGCCATCCCACTGTGTCTGCCTCTGCTGCGCAGGGCTCCCGCAAGACCCCACAAGACTCCACAGGAGACAGCTGCAACAGTTCACCCAGTGTCACTTGCCAAGATCCCCCAAAGCACTGACCTGCCGAAGCTCATTGACGCCTGCCTGCTGGGAGCCACCACCACTGCCCAGAGGCCTGACAGCACACACAGAAGCCCTGGGGAGCCCCTGCACCCGGAATGCAGGTGTGTCCAGGGATACGCTGGCTTCTAGCTCCCATCCGGGGGTGGGTCCCCCAGCTCATCCCAAGGCCCCACGGAGCTCCTGGTGGGGCTGTGTCCCACCCATCCCACGGGCTGCCTGAGCCGTCCTGAGCACGGGTGCTGGTTCAGAGGAAGACCCCTCCCTGCCTCAGGGCCCCAGAGAAGTCCCACCCGCAGCAGGCGTCCAGCCCCTCTCCCAGCAGGACCAGTCACCATGAGACCAGCCCAGAAAGATGGTCACTGGAATGCCACCTGCCTCTGGAACAAAAGGAGGGACCTCCACTCCTCGGGAAAGCAGCCGAGGTCCCCAGCCCCCAGAAGCACCGGGGCAGAGGAGAGGTGTGGCCCCCCAGGAACAAGGGCTTGGAGGAGACCCACCTCTGTTTGCTGGACGTCTCTTCGGCTCTGGGCCGCCAGCCCCACGGCACCAGCTGCAGGTTGTCTAGGCGATTGTCCACAGTCACAGCGTTGAGATGCACGACCTGGAACCCGGGAGCGATGCCTCCCCTGTGCCGCTCCCTAGGACACAGACAACTCTCGCGGTCCGCCTCCCAGACCTTCCCAACATCCCGGCCACGTGATCTGAGCTGGGCCCTCATCACACTGGTGCAGTAGCGCCAGGAGCGAGGCTACCCCAAATCCAAGGTGTCAAAGTCTGTGGCCCAAACAGGACCGTGTCGACAGTCCAGTCCCTGGATTAAAGACTAGGCTGTAGGGAGCCAAGGCTGGAACCCCAGACCATCTGACACACGGCCTAGAAAACACCCCATCTGAGCGGCCCCCGGATGCAGGCCGAGGACCACAGCCCCTTCCCCACACGGCACGAACAGGCTCAGCAAGAGCCCAGCAGGGGCCAGATGCCCTCCCCAGGGAGACCGTGTGTCCCCCAGCGGGCAGAGGGATGGACAGGGCTCTTGGTCTGGAGACGTAGGCTGCCCCGCTGGTGCCACAACACGCAGCCACTCCTGAGATAACGGCAGTGGTACGAAAGCGCGAGGGCAGGAGGCTGCCCCGGCACCGCCTACCCTGTGCGCATCTGGACCACGCAGGCCCCGGGGTGGGGGGACATGGCAAGCAACTCAAAAATACCCACCAGAGCAGCTCATGGAGAAGCCTTCCTGACCCCCTTCCTCGATTTTTGTCAAAGGCATATGCAAATATCTTAGCACCATTTCCGTCTGCGTCTACTTCCATCCGGGCCTGAGAAAAAACAAGATATGGGTCTGTTAGAAAGCCTCCGGCTCTTGACAACAGTTCAGTTACCCCCTAGAGAAGCCGAGGGACGTGAGTGAGCCAGAGGGACAGGTGGCAGGCCTGTTCCTGGGACCCTGGGAGCCGGCAGAGCTCGAGGACCCAGTCACGTCCCGACAAACACTCTCCTGCGTCTGAGCAAGGGACACTCACGGACGGCTGTGCGCCACACCCTGGACACAGGGATATACACTCTCCTGCCCTTAAAAGGGCCCACAGCCCAGCGAGAAAGACAACCCTGCATGGGAGACTGCTGGAGAGCGAGGAGGCCCAGACAAGAGAGCTGGGTCCAGGTTCTCGGAGGTCTCCGGAAGGGAGGTGCTGGCGGGGGCGGCCTGGGGCCAGAGCAGAAGCTGGTCAGGTGGAGACAGCGGACGGCAGGGCTCGGGAAGGTGAGTGGAAGGAGAGCACTGCGCCCCGGGACGGGCAGGGCTGAGGTCAGAGGACAGGTAGGGGAGCACCAGACCATCTCCTCAGGAGCCAGGCCTTGTCCCCAGTCAAATTCGGTCACAAATATGGCACAACCAGTCTGTTTTCAGGGATGAATGGCAAGCAGGGTGGCCTCGGGGAGGACCAAGGTCATGGAGGCAGTGCCAAGACCCCATGTCCTGAAAGAGGCTTCCCAGGCCCTCATGACCCACCCCCAGGCACAAAGGAGGCGGTCCTTACCTCAAAGGAGTAGCCCTCCACCAGCGGGATGTCCTGCTCATCTATCAGGGTGTACTTGGTCTACAAATTAACCACATTTCAGAAGTTACATTTGGGATCTGGGCAAAGTGCCGGTGAGAGGCAGCAATGGCCCCTTCAGACTAGGAGAGGTCGGCGGGGCAGGGGCGTGGGCAGTTCGCCACAACAGGCGGAGAGCCGGACCCACAGCTGCTCATTCCCCACCCAAGACTGTGCCAGAGGAGCAGGTACCGGGCTGCACTTCCCATCCGCACGGGACTAACCACAGAACTGCTACCGAACTGGCCAACCTCTACTCTGTGCCTTCAATGCACCACTAAACCTAGCCCACCGCAGTGGCTTTGCTGGAGTGGACCAAGCAGGCCAAGTTGAGGCAGAATAACCAGAAGGTATCAATTAATGTTTACTTGTTAGGAAGGGTACTGGTACACAGCTGAATTGTCTTCTGTAGCGTTTTGTTCCAAATCAAAGCTTTAAAAAATGACAATGTAACCAATTCCTAAATTAGAAGGAAGTCTCAGAGCTAATGGAAACCCACCCCTAGTTAGAAAGCCACGTCCCTCTTGCATGATGGGCAGGAAACAGTCCCCAAACGGACCAATCTCAATCTCACTCTTGCTTGGAAAGCTTTTTTCTAGGATCTGAATCCGTTTTACCTTTATCTGACTGCCTCTGCTCCTCTCTCCCACCCGAAGCTTCCGCCGCTGGTGATGGGAACAGGGTTCCCATCCAGGGTAAGGTCCGTGGCTGGTGCAGCTGCACGGCCGGCCGGCTCCTGGAAACAGCCAAGCCTCAATGCCCACAGGTGCTAGGAAGCCCCAGCCTCGAACACGCGGAGGGCGGGGCCAGGTAAGGGAGAGAAGCAGAGGTAGGCCCTGCTCCGGCGAGGCCCACTAAGGCTCAGCCAGACTTGGCCACCGCTGGCAGCGTGAGACCTGTGCGAAGCTCCACCAGGACCCGCAGGCACGGAACGGCGCGCACACACCGGTCTTGACAAGGACCGAGCGCGCCGCATCGGAAGGGCGCCGCGCTCCCCGCGCCGCAAGCGCAGCCTCTAGCCCCCTCCTCGCGGGCCGTGGCGCACCGTCCGGGCCCTAAGGCCGCGGCCCGCGAAGGGCTGCCCCGCGGGGACATGCCGCCGGCCCGCCACCCGCACAACCGCCGGGCCTCGCGCCCCCGGCCAGGCCCCGCGCCCCCGGCCCAGTCTCGCGCTCCCGGCCCAGCGCCCACCGGCCCAGCCCCCGGCCCCGCGCCGCTCACCTTCCCAGCCACCCGGCCGAGCCGCACGATGCCCAATTTGAAGTCGGTCATGGCCAGGCCTGCGCTCGGCCGGCGGCGCCGCTCCCTCGGGAGGCGCCGGACCGGGGCGGGGCCGCGGCGCGCCGGGCGAGCCGGGCGAGCGGGCGGGCAGGGTTCGGGTCGGGGCAGCCGGGCGGGACGAGGCTGGGCCGGGCTCAGGCCGCTGCCGCCGCCACCGCCACCGCCTCGCGCCCGCCGGACCTGCCACGCGCCGCCGCTGTCGCCGCGCGCACCACGGCAAGCCGAGCCGGGGGCGGGGCCCGGCGCGGACACACCCCCGCCCGCCACCATCCGGCCAATAGCGACGCGCGCACTGCACCGGCCGGCGCGCGCCGCCCGGCTGAGGCCAATGAAGAGAAGGAGAGTACGCAGGCGCGCGGAGGAGCGAGGCGAGCGCGGGGGAGGGGCGCGGCCGGGGGGCGGTACCTCGCGGCCGCCCGGTGTACGTCAGTTTCGCGGGAAGCTTTGTGCAAGCGTCCACGCGCTCGCCGCTCTCGGCCCCCGACCCCGCGCTTGAGCCGCGACCTCGCGCCCGACCCTGCGTCCAGACCCCGCGCCGCCCTGACTCCTCGGTCCGCCCCTGGCTCTGCGCCCCTGAACTGCCCGGAGGACCCCGCGGGTTCGGGTCTCTGCAGGACTCGCGGCGGCCCCCCACGCCGGAAACGGTCCTGCGTCCGCAGGGCAACGGGCAGGGGCACTGGGTGAGGACGGGACCCCAGAGCCCCCCGGCTGCCGAGGAGCCGGGCTAGTGGTCTGCGCCTGCAGGACGCGGGAAGAGCCCTGAGCTCAGCGCCCCTCCTCCCTTCCGGGTCACGGCGTCTCCTGCTCACAGGGGCCTGGTCTGGACCTCGGTCGCCGACCCAACCTGGACTACGCCCACATTCCCTGGGCCGTAGGCTCCTTAACCGAGGTGGGGCGACGCCCCGGGCGTGGAGAGCCTGGTGTAGGGACTCCGGGACTGCGGTCTTTGGGAGGCCTGCCTACCACCCATGCCTCCTGGCAACCGCCTGGCGTTCACCCCCAGGACCTACTGAAGCTACATAAGTTTAAAGTCCCTGCTTATACCCCAGGGAGGGAGGCCGAAAAGCCCAGAATGAATGAGTCACATATGTTGGAAGGCGATGAATGCCGTGGGGGAAACACGGAGATCAGCAGTGGGGGTCGGGGGTCCTAGTGAAGGTGGGGAGCATTGCAGGGCGCGTTGCCCATCAGTTTCAACAAACAGTGGAAGGAGGGGGCGTGAGTCACGTCCACATAGGGGATCCCCCCCCCCCGGGGAGAGGACAGTGCAAAGGCCCCAAACTGGGAACATTTCTGGCACGTTTGAAAACGGGTGGCCCTTGTGATCAGACTGGAGTGGATGAGGAGCAATAGCCTCTCGTGAGGACTTTGACGTTTACACTCAGGAGTGAGGACACAGTGAGACACCACCTCACACCTGTCAGAATGGTTATCAACAATAAATCAAACAAGCGTTGGCCAGTGTTGAGAAAAGGGAACCCTTGTGCATTGTTGCTGGGATTGCAAACTGGTACAGCCATTGTGAAACAGCATGGAGATTCCTCAAAAAAGATTAAAAATAGCCATATGACCCCACAGTTCTGCTCCTGGGCATCTATCTGAAGAAACCCAAAACACTAATTTGAAAAGATATGTGCACCCTTATGTTCATTGCAGCGTTATTCACAATAGCCAAGATATGGAAGCAACTTAAGTGCCCATCGAGACGGTGGAGCAAGAAGTGCTGCATATATACAATGGAATATTACTCAGCCGTAAAAAGAATACGGTCTTACCATTTGTGACAGTATGGAGGAACCTAGAGAGTATTGTGCCAAGTGAAATAAGTCAAAGACAGAAATACCACATGAATTCACTGACATGTGGAATCTAAAATAAATGAGCAAAACAGACACAGACTCATTAATACAGAGAATAAATTGATAGTTGCCAGGTGGAAGGGGTTGGGCTGGTGGGTGAGAAAAAGGAAGGTATTAAGAAGTACAAGTCGGCCCTGGCTGGCGTAGCTCAGTGGATTGCGCTCAGGCTGCGAACCAAAGCGTTGCAGGTTTGATTCCCAGTCAGGGTACATGCCTAGGTTGCAGGCCATGACCCCCAGCAACCGCACATTGATGTTTCTCTCTTTCTCCCTCCTTTCCCTCTCTAAAAATAAATAAATTTTTTTTTAAAAAGGAAGTACAAATTGCCACATATAAAACTGTCCCAGGATGTAAAGTACAGACAGCATAGGGAATACAGTCAATAATATTGCATTAACTATGTGTGGTGCCGGGTGGGTCTATACCTACTGGGGTGAAGACTTTGTAAGTTATATAAATGCCTAATCACCATGCTGTACAACTGAAACTATACAATATTGTATGTCAACTGTAATCGAGAAATTAAAAACCAGAAGAACAAAGCGAGGCCATAGGAAGATTTGGACAGAGGAGTAGCTTTTTGGTGAATCGCACTGGCTGATGGAGACAGCAGTTTATGCGGGGAGAGAGTGGAGGGAAGGAGGCTGTTCAGAAGGGAGTGCGAGGACCCAGCCCAGAGGCGACGGTGTTTGGACACGTGTGGTGGCAGTGTTCTAGCAGTCGGGGCAGCCCTGGTTATCCTGCGGTAACCGACAACCCCAAGTTCTAGTGGCTTCACAAAATAAGCACATATTTCTTACTCGTGCTCCATGTTAAGACTACAGGCGGTTGCCCGTGTGAGCCTCGGGCTGGGGGCAGATCTTTGGCATGGGGCGTCAGTGTGGCACTCTCTGCGTCACACGCTCCCTGCATTCCGAAGATCGCCATGTGAGAAATGCGGACAGAGGAAGGGAGGTCGAAGAGTGAGCCCTGGGCACCCCCATATTGAGGGGGAGACAGTGGGAAAGAGGAGGAGCCAGTAAAGAAAACCAGGAAGTTGGGTGGGAGGTCAATCAGGAGAAGGCCAGGTAGAGAGTGTATGTGGAAGGGGCGGTTGGCCACGTCGAACGCTGCTGGTAGGTCCTGTAAGATGGGGGATGGGCGTCAGTCAGCAGACTGAGCAACACAAGGGCACCGGTGTCTTTGGACGCACAGTGTTGATGGAGTGGTGCGGGGTAAGGAGGAATGGAAGAAGAGAGTTGTAGGTCATGAGACAGACAACTCTTCCAAAGTTTTGCTAAAACCGAGAGCAGGGGAACAGAGCCAAAACTGGAAAAAGAAGGGAAGTCAAGAGTAATCGTTTTTACAGTCAGAGAGGAAAGAGCATGTTTGTTCAACAGAATGACTCCCAAAGAGGAGAAGTTCCCCTGGCTGGTGTAACTCAGTGGATTGAGCAGGGGCCTGTGAACCAGAGTCACCAGTTCGATTCCCAGTTAGGGCACATGTCTGGGTTACAGGCCAGGTCCCCAGTAGGGGGCGCATGAAAGGCAACTACACACTGATGTTTTTCTCCCTCTCTTTCTCTCTCCCCCTCTCTCTAAAAATAAATAAATAAAACTCTTTAAAAAAGAGAAAAGGAGAAGTCGATGATGTAGAAAAGAGGTGGAAGAATTTTGGGAGAGGCGAGGAGTGAGGAGCCGGCTTTCGATGGGAGCGGGGGGCCGCTCAGGGACAGTGTGGCATGGGTGTGGAGGCAGAAGTTTGGGGCATTATCTTCTGATGAGAACTTTTCCAGTTGTTCAGTTAAGTCGAGAACAAGGTCGTCAGCCGAGAGTGAGGAGAAGGCAGCAAAGGTTGGTGGTTCAAGGAGGAAGGACGAGGGCTGACTGACTGACTAGTTAGGAAGGAGCTAGGGTGACACAGGAGGAGGGCCTGGCAGTGTGTGGGGGGGCCAGTCAGGGCGACTGTGTGTTTCCCCAGCCAGTTTAGGCTGCTCCGGGGAAGGCAAGGAGAAGGGAGGTGGCTTGAGCGGAACCCGTCTTGCGATGGGAGAGACAGTGCAGACAGAAGGGGATGAGGGCAGGGGTGGGCAGACAGCTCTGCAGACTGACTCTCGAAGCCGTTGGAGGGAGCTGCTGAAGTCTGCGGGAGTTCTTGGAGGACAGAACTCATGGAGACAAGGGCTGTATTGATGGTATTGTTTTATTTTCTTAAACACTTTACTTATTTATTTTTAGAGGGAGGAGAAGGGAGGGAGAAAGAGAGGGTGAGAAACATTGATGTGAGAAACAGCCATTCATTGCTTGTCGTACATGCCCTGGTCGAGGATTGGAGCCACAACGCAGGCATGCGCCCTGACTGGAAATCAGCCGGCGACCCTTTGGTTCCCAGGCCAGTGCTCAGTCCACTGAGCCACACCAGCCAGGACCTGTTTTCTTATTTATGATGCTTCGACTTCTGGGGGCCCTTGCTGGCTGGGGAGGGACTGTCCCTCCCAGGACTAATTCCTAGAGACAGCAATTTTCTGAGACCACACCTTTTACATATAAACCAATCCAGAGCCCATACCCCCACCTCCCTTATCTATATCTATGTCTATATAAATTTATTCATTTGAGAGACACAGAAACATTGATTTCGCTGTTCCACTTCTTCATGCGTCCATTGGTTGATTCTTGTATGTGCCCTGACCAGGGATCATACCTGCAACCTTGGTGTGTTGGGATGATGCTCTAACCAACTGAGCTACCCGGCCTGGGCCCACCTCCTTTATCTAACTCACACTTCATGCCAGTATTTCTCTGCTGAACTCACCCCAGGGCCAGGTATTGGGCACCGAGAGAGGACCCCGTAGCCCAGAGCCCACTGAGCTCATTCACGCTCTCCACCCCGACGCATGCTCACGCTGCCTCTGCTGCATCACCCACTCCTTCCCACAGAAAACACGGGACGGGCTCTGGGCCAACCAACCCTGGCACTTCCCATGTGGCCGGGTGGGGTGGCTCTGCCCTCCTCTTGGGTAAGTAAGTACTAAGCTCCTTCTTCAAGCAGTTGTCTGTGTCGGTCACCTCACCCGATGAAAACAAATCCTGGGCACGTTTTTAAGACCGAGGCCAGAGGGTAGGAAGGATCACCTATGTGGATCCTGAAGTTACTAAAACTTCCTGCAAAGTGGGACTGGAGAGATGACGGTGAGTCAGGAGCTGACGTCACCAAGACATAAGGGGGACAGACCTGGCCTTGAACAGGAGAGCAGCAGTGGAGGGTGGTGGGGTTTTATTCTGAGAAAGTGAGAGTTAGCACTGGGAGATTTCAGGGTGACAGGGAAATGGTCTGGAAGTGGCCACAGGGGTCAGGGGTGGCACCCGAGCTACCTC